GAGAGAGAGAGAGAGAGAGAGAGGGAGGGGGGAAGGGAAAGGGAAAGGAAAGGAAAGGAAAGGAAAAGAGGCTATGTATATAGCTCAGTGGTGAGGTCCTGGCTTCAACCTTCAGCATAGGAAGAAAGGAAGAAAAGGAAGGAAGGCAGGAAGGAGAGGAGAGGAGGGCAGAGGAGGGGAAAAGAAAGAAAGAAAAAAGAGATGCAAGAAGCAAAGCAGTCACCGTATTAGTGCACTTGCAGTTTTATCCATTTTGCTCTTTGTTTCCTTTGTGGTTTTATATTTCCATTTTTCAATACAGAACTTCTCCTTGGGGTATTGAGTTTCTTCCTCTGTCTCCTCCCACCCACGTACCATAAATAGACCATGAGTCAGTTGGGAGATTAGTGCCACTGAATGTTCCATAGACTGAATGCACAAAATCGTACATATGAAGAAGACGGATGGTGGCCCCTACACAAGACACAGATAAGACCTGCCATAGTGGTGATATGACTACAATGGACTGTTTTCACAAGTCATCTCTAATCAGATCTGAAGAAACAAAATCTGTGTATACCCGACAATACAGATGTATATTAAAGATGATTCCAGATTATCCCTGTGACCAGGTCTTTGCACCCTCAGGAAAGAAGTTGGAATTACAACTGTGCACCAAGGGATTTAGCTCAGTGGTTCTGCCGCCTGCCTTACAACTGTGCACCAGAAACTGTTACTCTATGTCATAGCCCTAAGCCGAGTGTCTGGGGAGTATGCTGTGCTGGCCGTAGGAAAATTAGGAGCCTAAGGGCTTTGATGTCGTTTCTTTTTTCTCCTTATCTTCTTTCTTTATCTGTCCTGTCCCTCTGTTTCATTTCTTTCTGGGCACCTGCCATTGATTTAGCATCCATAACTTCACCAAGACCGATTTGATATATGTTGTATTTTATCACATTGTCTTTTTCATCCTCCTGTGCCTTTACCCTGGACGTTTCCCTGTCTGTCTTGTCTGTCCACACACTACAGACTACGAGCAACTTGAGAAAAGGGAACAAGACTCACTACATCCTTTTTTTGTAACTGGGTCCCCCTAAGTTGCCCAAGTGAGGCTCAAACTTGTGATCCTCCTGCCTCAGCTTCCCATAATACCATGATCACAGGTACACACCATTGTGCCCACCTCACATTGCCACTTTTATCAGGGCAGTGGTCATATTGAATTAGGACTCACCTAGAGATCTCATGTTAATTTGATCACCTGCAAAGATCTATTTCCAAGTAAGTTAACAGTCACAAGCACTGGGGCTAGGACCTCAAAATCTTTCAGGGAAACACAATTCAACTCATAACACCCCACTTATGCTGCCTTGTTTTTCCTTGTAGTATGTGTCACTTTCTGACTTAGACTTACGGTTTTGCTGGTTTCTGTATCTCTCCTTTGCTAGCAGGTAAGTGCCGAGAATATAAAATTATAGCTACAGCAGTTAAGAATACATGGCCTGGGTATAGCTTAGTGGTAGAGAGTCTTCTTGACACATGTGAGGCCTTGAGTTTGATCCCAGTGCTGCAAAAAATAAATTAAAGAAGGACTGCTTAGCGTATAATATTTGTTAAGTGAATGACTACTAAACTGGAAAGTCAGCTTTCCTATTTTAAAATCCCAAAGTCTAAAACTTCTTTTTGCATAGTCACTATTCAAACAAAAGTTTCTCAGATGTTTCTCATGTGCATACTCATTAGGACACACTCTTGATGTATCCAAAAGTCTATTTCAAGCCAACAAGTGACCTTCCTTTAAAAACCGAAGGGTGGATAGAAGCACTCAGTGAAAATGGCATTTAGGAGGGAACCTGTGAGAGTAAGCAGAAGTTAATGAGGTGAGGAGTGGTCAAGAGCTGGATTGTGGAACCGGGGTGCAGCTCAATAGTACAGCCCTTGCTTACTACTCTAGAGGCCCTGGGTTCCACCCGCAGCATGACAAATAAGCAAAAACAGAGAGAGATCATTTGGCTGACTTCGTGATAAAAATAACCAGTTCAATGGAGTTACATTATTTTCATGCCCCATTAAAATGCATTTAAGATGAAATTAACCTGCTCCTGATATTAGAAATGCTTCCTCTGCTGTTTATTGAAAAGACTGTGCGTAACCTCGTCAAACTGTGTCATCATTGTATGTCTTTCATCTCTTGCCCATGAGCTGAGGGGCACAGAGTGGCATCTTTGCTATTTGTAGACCAGTGATGATGAACCTATGGCACGGATGTTGTTGCTTTCATTTATGACAAAAGATGTTAATGTATGAGTTGTTTTCTTCTAAACTAAAACCTCAGTATTCAGGTTTAATTGCAGTGTTGGACTTCGCAATAAAAAAGTGAGTTTGGGATTGGAGTTTGGGCACTCGGTCTCTGAAAGGTTCACTAGCACTGCTATAGAAAGTCAAAACACAAGTGATAAATGAAAAGAGAATATTCGTAACATAAACATGATTTTTAAAAAGAGTTAAAAAGCCCTGATTTACAAAAGCTTTTATAAATCAGCAAGAAGACAAATGACCCAAAGAATCGAAAGAAGTACAGAGGCCACGTTAACATATGAAAGATTGTTTAATCTTGTCAGAAGACAGGGAAGTGAAAATTAAAGTGACAACAACATTGCATTTTTGCTCATCTGCTTGGTAAAAGTTTAAAAGATTGATGATTCCCAGGCCTGTGAGAGTGTAATCAGACCCTAACACTTTTGAGAGTGGGACAGTATTGGAATCATATGTTCAAATTCAAACTAATTATCCTCTGAATTTAAAGCCCCATGTTCAGGAGCCCAGCTTCGGAAAGGGGGGGGCCTTCCTCATGATGCATGTCAGCTAAGCTATAGAAGGTCAGTATGGGAATATACTAGTTTTCCTGTCACTAGAACACAATACCTAACATCCACAACTTAAAAGAGAGGATCAATTTGGCTCACATTTTAAGGAGATTCAGCCAAGGGTCAACTGGCTCCAAAGCAGGAATACCATGGTGAAAGGGTGTGACGGAACAAAGCCGCTTAGTTCATGGAGGCTGGGAAGCAGAGCAAGGGAACAGATCCGGAGAGAGAGACACAGACCCACCCAGACACATCCAGAAGCATGTTCCACTAATCCCCTGCCAATCAAGTTGACACTGCTCCCTAATAGCCACAGTCTACCCTTTGTCAACAAGCACATCTCTTTAAGCCATACTTAACCTCCAGATAAAGGTAATAGTTCATAATCCCACCTACCATAATACAACACTTCCATACAACTGGAAATGCAACAATCCCTTCCCCAAAGTCTCAACAGTTCCATCATTTTTTTTAAAGTCAAAGACTCTTCTAAGTCTAAAGGCAAACTCTCAGCTGTGAACCTCTGTTAAAAAAAGTTTTTTTTAAATTATGTAATCCCAAAGTACAATGTCATAGGGTGAACACTCTCATCCCAAAAGGGAGGAATAGAAAGACAGAAAAGAATTAGACCAAAACTAGACTGAAACCAAGAAAAGCAAATATTAAGTCCTGTAGCTCCAGGGAATATGTTAGTGAGTTTCAGAGGGCCTGGACAGCCCTGTCCCTGTGGCCTTGCCAGTGGTAGCCCATATGGCCTCTCTCTTGAATTGGCCTCACTCAGAGTCTACAGCTTTCCTAGGCGGACATTGCACATTCCTGGCATCTCTGACTTCCTGGGATCTCCACTGAACTTTTGGTTTCATTTCTACATCTTCATGCCTGCCCTCTCAGGGGCTGTTTGCCTGGCCTCCCAGGCTTTCCTTTGAAATCTGAACGGAGGCCTCCACGGTCCCACAAATCTTGCATTCTGCATGCTGGTAAAACAAGAATCGTGTGGACAATACCAAGGTCTGCTACCAGCTCAAGCAGTAGCTGGGCCACCTTGGACCATGGCTGAATTGGCCTCTAAGTGCCTGGAGGCTGAGCATAGTGAAATGAATCCCAAGGAAGCCTTTCTCAAGCAAGGGGTCTTGGGGACTTTCTTCTCAAATAAAAGGTTACCATTTTTATATCCTCGAGTCTGTGATGAGTAGAATCTTGCTGATTTCTGAAATGCCTTCTTGGTCCTATTCAAAGTACAGTGGACCCTTTACTTTATTCATGAGGGCTCACTGTAACTCAGGCTGGTCAATTGAGGACTCAAGCTCCTCTACACAGGCTTCAAAGTCTCTCTCCTGTACACAGGCAGATCTCAGGGTCCTTAGAGAGACACTGGCCCAGGATTTCTCAATTAACCCAACATAGGTGAGGATGTTAAATGTTCATTCCAGAACTCTTTAAGGGTTAAATCTGTATCTTAAAGAGGTTTCTGCTTCTCACTCTAAATACGGATAAAAGTAGCCTGAGCACCCATGACATATCCTATATGTTGGGCTGCTTTGAAATTTCATCAATCAGATCAATTAGTCCACTACCCTTAAATTTAGACTCCTGCGAAGTATCGGGATATGGGCAAAACATAGACAAATTTTCTGCCAGTGTAACATATGGCATCTAGTCCAACTGTCAATGGAGTCCTTGTACCCAACTGAAATATTCAGAGCCTTGGTCTTTATGTCTTGCATTTCTATTAGAGTTCTGACAAATCTTCTGAGCCCTGAGCAAAATCACCCATCAAGCTCTTTTTACAGCATTTAGCCCATATCTCTAAACCTTTCCAAACTCTTCCTACAAACCAGTTCCAAAGGCTTCTAAAACACATGGCCAGGTACACTGACAGCAGCCACACCACTGTAGTACTGATTTTCTGTATTAGCTTTCCCATCACTGGTTCATGCACCCAATACCAGCTCACATTTTTAAGGGATTCGCTCCATAGTCAGCTGCTTCCAAAGCAGGAACACCATGGCTTGGAAAACTGCTTAGTTCATGGTGAGCATGAAGCAAAGCATGAGAAGAGTGTCAGAGAGGAAGGGGAAGAGGCCAACCATACCCCAATACCACACTTCCATGACACCCAGACACACCCCAAAGCGTGTTCCATCAATCCCTCAAGTAGATCCCAAAATGAGTCAATTTGACACTCCACCCTAACTGCCATATCAAATACATAGAGGTGCCCATTTGGTTTCAAACAAATCATGAATTCACTTCTTTGTTTTTTAAGATAGGCTCTTGCTATGTTGTCCAAAGTGGCCTTAAAATCACTATGTAGCCCAGGCTGGTACTGAAGTTGTGATTGTCCTGCCTCCACTTCCTGAGCATTGAAGTTATAGGTGTGCACCACCGAGCCTGCCAAGATTATAAATTTTTATGCTTCTGAATTTATAGAGTAAGTCTTCCACTCTAAAGAATTATTAAACATCACAGTCAACATTATCGAATATCAACAACAGGCAAGCATCTGATTAGAATTTAAGTTATGAATGTTTAAGAAAACTCTTGAGCTTTTAGACCACTCCCACCTTCAACGAATCTCAGACGTATATAAAATTTTAAGCCCCAAAGTTAAGCTTAGAAGATAGGAGATCAAAAGGATGTGCACCAGGAAGTCTTCCCATGAATCTAGGGCAGTGGAGTTCTCACTTTTGCTCCCAAATTTCACATTTCACTCTGCTCTCGCCATCTCTGGCTGCTTTGGTCTGCAATAATGAGAGGAAGCTGCTACTTAAATCAAGAATTTCCCACAACCTTTCCTTCTTCCCCTTTCCCTCCCTGTGTCCCCGTCCCACTCCCTCCCTGGGACTAAACCCAGGGCTACATCCCCAGGACTTTTTTTCCAAGACAGGATTTCACTAAGTTGCTCAAGCTGAGCATGAACTTGCAAATTTGCGACCCTCCTGCCTCAGACTTGGAGAGTGCTGGAATTGTAGGCACACACCACCACATGTACTACCATTTTCTCTTATTAAAGGAGTGGGGTGTTTATATCCAGGGAAAATGACTCCCAACTCCAGGGGGCAAGAAGAGTCGTCTCTCTCATGTTGCACTGCACATCACACTGAGAGGAACCTGAACTTTTTCTTGGCTAGGGAGGTAAAGGTGCAAGGAAATGGGTAAGGTTCCCTAGAAATGTAGTGAAAGTACATCCAGCACCTGTCTCCCAAGGCTGTTGCCCCTGATGTATGCCCTCTCAGGTCAGTGTCAGTTTGGAGCAGAGGTCCCACTCTTTCTGGGACAGCCCCCTGCAGTGATGCAGGCAGGTGGGGACAGGGGATTTGCTCACTGATCAACCGCTCGCTGGGTGCAGAGCTTTTGTCAGATCCTCTTGGTCCCAGGGCTGCCCTGTCCAAGACCACTGCTTCTGTCTTCACAGCTTTTATGACCCCATGAAGTCTCTACCACCTCTGTCCTGTCTCACCATCTCCAGGAGAACCCTTCCACCACAGCTAGGGCCCCCCCCATCCATTTGAAACTGCTGAAGTTTAACACTAGTGGGATTTTTTTTTTTAACTCTGAAAGGCATTATTCTTCGTTTTCAATTCAAGTCTGAGAATTAAAACCCACTGCATTGTTCTCTGCAACA